GAGTCGGGCCAACGACATGTTAGCCACCGTGGGGGAGGGGATACCAGCCGAGACGGCCTACCCGCTTATGGCGATTGACACCGCCGGCGGACAAACCGTTCAGACGCTCCCCGTTCGAACCGTAAACCACCCGAGTTTTGCCAAACAAACACGCCCGCGTAAAATTACAACTCCCGCTGTGGAACTTGAATTTTACAACGGTTTTGTGACGGCATTACTTGACTCACAAGCGCAAAAGTCATATACCACCCCGGCAATAGCCCATAAATACGGAATTGTGCGCAAAGGACCCACACACGCGGTTAGATTAGCAGACGGCCACACGACACCCACCGCCGGCACCGCTACTTTTACCGCGAACATCGCAGATCTGACAATCACTTTTACGGCCGTGATCTTAGACAACCTGTACTGTGACGTACTTCTAGGGCATGATTTTCTGACCGATCAGGAAGTCTCTTGGGATTATGCTGCGTGCACAATACATCTAGGCGCGAAACGACGTACTACAGCGTGCTGGAAAGCAAGCGATCCCCGCACCCCCCACAGCATAGATCTGCCAAACATAGATATAGCAGGCGACCCACACACGCGCGAACTATCATCACAGATAGTGAAAAACTGCGCTACGTTTTTAATGACACGGTGGGACGCACAACGCTTATTGAACACACATCACTCACTTTACTAGTGCCAGCCCGAGAACAGAGGCTGACACCACCACCCTTAGCATCAAACATGGAGGAGACACCGTTTTAACTACAGATACAGCAGCAGTAGCACAATAGCAGCGACAGTACAGTAGCGGCAACAACAACAGTAATAGCAGCAACAACACAGTAGCGGCAACAACTTCTAAATCAGCAGCGGTGAAACAGCGACCAGCGGGAAAACCCACGGAATTGGTATACACACACTCATCCCTTAGATCACCCACAAACGACGTGAGTTTGCGGCATTCACTGCGATACGCAGTTTCTTCCCGGCCGTCATTAAGTAGACCGGCGGCTTGGCGGGGGGGTATTTGACACGGCCCGCGTCGCTTCGTTATACACGATGCCCCGCGACTCGTGCCACCTTTATCAGCCGTCGCCCTACTATGAGTATTTGACTGACCAACACCGCGTGTTATACGCTACGGTGCAAAGTCCAGCAAATGCCGCACGGCCGACGACGACCCGCCGCAAATGGTGCGAGAGTCTTCCTCCCGTTGTGTCAGCGACAACGTCGACAGCCGAACCGCACCCGCGCACCGTCGCCTACAACGCTGCTAACCATTTTGCCGTCCAAGGATTACGCCGAACATCGCGTCGTCGACGCCAGCGAAAGTGCCGCGATATTATGCGAAGATTATTATTACTGTGTTAATCTTTTCGGTTTGTTTTATTTTTGTTAAAATAATCTGTTGTCGCTCATTTAATAAACGGCCCACGGGTCTCTACCCTCAAAACCAGTGTCGACCACATTTTTGCGACGCAAGTCGTGTCACATGATTTGGACGCTTACATTACTTTAATAATGAAAATTGATGAAATATAAAAGTTTCATTGCATCATCTTTGAGAAAATAATTGTAATCGACTTTTACGAATATAATTTTCAATAAAAAATAACTGAGGCTATTTATCAAGATAAAAACTATCCTACTGTCTAAGTTGGACCCAATGACACATGTATGTCAAATTTTATCAAAATTGGTTCAGTAGTTTAGATGTCATTTGTAGACAAACACCGTGACATGAGATTTTTATATATATATATATATATATTCAGATATTACACTTATAAATTATAAAACTTGTAATCAGGATTTAAATAAAGAAACATGTAACTTGTGGAATAATCAAACAATTTTTTTTAATTAAACACTATCTAAAGATTTGCATCAAAGCGTTTTTTATGATAGTGATTTTAATCACTGTCAGATATTATTATACTTGATCCAACTATGCCACGTCACCACTAAGCCGCGACCTTACTGTAATATTATATTTTACTTAAAATATTACCATATAATATGATGTTATCATTTGTACATGAATGTCACATATTATGATTATACAAGATCACTAAAACAGGGTTCTCTTATTTAAAATACAAAATAACCCTTTAATCATGCGAAAAAATCTCCCCCTTGTAGAAATTATTAAGTAACGCCTACTCGCAGGGCCCTCTTTATAATTAACCAATTAGAATACAAAGTCTCAGCTTCCAGGATCACGCTAGAGATCGCTGGGCTACCCCTTTCAGACTATAAAAAGCCATTTTTTCCCAACTAAACCAGTTCTTTCGGCGATTTTTAAAGATACAAAATCTATGACACTCTACTCAAGATTTCACTCTCCAGGACTTAGTCGATTTTTTAATTAATTGGGAATTAGAATATTTTTTTTTAAAAACTAAGTGACACTTAGAAATTTTAAAGTGCATTTTGTTTTGGTGAATCTTTTAATTTAATTTAATTTGTTCATTAAATAATAATGTTTTATTTTTATTGTTGTAGAAATAAATATCAAATAATATTTTAAACATTAATTTTTTAATTATTTAATTTTAATAATAAATCCAACCCAACTTTAAATTTTATTTAATGATACAAATATATTGTGAGCTTTTTTTATTGGGTAGTTAGTCTTTGAGCTTAATGTCTTTGCTCTAACGAACATCGCGCCGGGGGACAGCGCAAAGAAACTTACAAATATATTTTTAGTGTTTAATTTTTGTCTTGGTGATAATTGTGCCGCATCCTTTCAAGGCGCTTTCTAGCGCCGGGACACATTAGGCCACCACAATTCCGCCTTGATAAATTTTTTACACAGATATAAATATTTCTGAATTTTGTTTTGGCCAGGCCAGAGGAAAACTTAAGAAATATTGGTGTCGATCTCTCAACATAATATACTCTCTAAAAGAAAAATACTTATTCAATAGACATAAAAAATCAATAAGTAAAAAAAATTAAAATTATATTTATAATAAAATATAGAGTGTTTAGAATCATTTACAAGTAAGATCAGTCGTAGAATTTGTATAATTAAATCTTATTATTTAAAATTTAGAATAGTTTTTGTAAGTAATTATATGGACTATATGACGTATTGTGTAAATCATATATGTAGTGCGTTTAATACCAAAATCAACATTGGATTATTTGAAATATTATTGCATTACACAGCATGTAAGGTAAGTACAATTTAATCTATACTTTCGAATGTCCAACAATCTATTACGTAATAAACCATTAATAAAAATCAAGTATGAAAATTAATAATTAATAAGAGAAACAATTAATGTGTAAATTATATAATAAATATTATAGACGAGACATTTAGTTTTTATTTTAATTATAATTTAATAATAAAAACCACATAATTAATATAACTATAACCCTCTATTTATTTATATTTTATTTAATTATTTACCTTTACCCTTACCATCTATCTAATTTATTTCTTTTCTTTTCTTTTTCTTTTTGGTTTATTACATCACTGTGCTGAGTTTTTAATTCGATTCTAATATTGTGTAGTTGTTTTAGTTTGAAACTGAAAATTTTAATGGTATAATCAACACATCAACACATCAATACATTAATAATCAATATAATTTTTTTTATAGACACGTGATGTCTTTACCTATCATTTGATATATATTTTTTATAAATATGACCCTTTATCTGCAGGATGGATTGAAAATAACAACTTCTTTACGAAAAATTAACTTTTTCAACTGAACTTTTGAAAGTGTTCCTGAAACTCTGACACTTTTATAGATATCTTAAAGCTTATGTAAATACATTAATATGAAAAAAAAAAAATTCGGACTTTATTTTGTCTTCACCGTGAATACAGACATCTAAATGAATAAAAAAAATTTTTTTTTTATTTTTTACTTTAAAATGCTATAACATTTTGAAAAATGTGTAGATCAATATAATTGTGTCAAGTCGACAGCCGGTGTAAAAATCTTTGTCAAAAAAGTATGAGGATTCCTGAACAAAACTTAGGCGGATTGTCCCATCTCAGATGTACGCGGGAACAACAGAAAGTAGTTAAAAATGGAGAAGGCATAAGCAATTAAGTGTTTGATACCAGCCGGACAACTTGTGTGGTAACTGTTTCACCAGTTATGTATACAGGTCTAATCAACTTGTAGTGTCAACGGTGTAGGGACATCACCACTTAACTCTAGGCTGGACTCGTGTATATGGAAGAAAAATAGATACAAAGTAAGAATAGGTACTTGGAATGTTGGAACATTAAATGGTAGAAGTAGAGAATTACTAGAAATATTGAAGAGGAGAAAAGTTAACATTATGTTGTATGCAGGAAACTAAGTGGAAAGGAGAGAAATCAAGGAAACTAGGTGAGGGTTATAAAATAATATACTCAGGTCAGTCTAGTACAAAAACACCACAAGTGGGATGTGATGAAATAGACAAGGAAGTATTTTGGTGAGAGATGGATGAGGTGATGCAAGGGGTACCTGTATTAATACTAGAATTAATAAAAGTTTAAAAAATCATTTGTTTAATTATCGTAAATTCTTTTTTATCTAGGCCTGATGCTATACTAGGCATTACTATATATGTGTTATGATATTTTATCATTTAATTTTTAAGTTTGAAATGTGAAATTTAAATGTGATTTTTTTTTATGGCTCTCATTTATTTTCTCACTTGACTAACTTTTTTTAATGATACATCAAATGATCACAACTATTTTCTAGTTACAGATATTACCCTCAAAAATTGAAAAATAATAAAATATACTTTAAATAATTAATATCTTCTGAAATACTAGTATAAAATTTGTTATTGTCTAGTCATATTCTTAATTAGTTAATTTTCTATTTTATAAGCTAGTTATACATGGATTTTACTATAAAAAAAAATGTTGGTACACCTTTATGTTATAAGGGATGATTCTAAAAAGTATTTAGTAGATCATAGTTATTAATCAAGATATAAATGTCAAAAAAGAAATTTTTTTTAAAATACTATATTTATTTTGCAAGTAATCTTGTGTTTTATAATAAATCAATTACTCTAAATATTACGTGTTTGTATATTATGAAGATATAAATTAAATATATTTTTTAAAAATTCACGTATGTTTTTCAAGAAGTACATCTATTTCTTACTCGGATTCATCATTCTTTGTATCAACTATTAAATCTGATAAAAAAAAAAATTGTTTCAAAGTTGAAATACATTTTACAATCAAAGTTTAAAGTATTCTATTTTGATTATTTTTGTAAATTAAATAAAATTGTTTGTATAAAACAAAATTAATTTGTTTTATATTAATATTTTACAGAAGTTAAATTTTTCATAACCTGTGAATAATTTTATTATTTTTTATTATATTGCTGTATTATTTAAATAGTTAACAAACAAAAAACTCTAAAGGATTATAGTATTATAGGTAAAATATTTTATCTTAACAATTGACATAATTGTAATTTATTTATGGGCAGTTATACCAATTAATTATTTTAGTTTTGTTATTTATATTCTTTAATTGCTTCCTAATTAAACTCGTAGCATAATATGTATACATAGATCTATAATTTATATTATCAAATGAAATTTATTTAATTTCATTTTACATCACAACTAAATAAATGTTTTTGTCTTTCAACTGCTTAGTTTTTAGATGTTAAGAAATTGTTCTAGTAGAAGGTTTAGGGTCCATTAGAAAATAGACTCTTCTGTTCAATTATCTTCAGTAATTTCGAAATCTTTTTTTTTTACTTTCCATCAGCTTGTTATAATAATGGGTATATCTATCACTTAAAAATTAAAATATCATACAACATTTGTATTTTGTAAGGATAGATAATATATGAAATGCAGTAATAAACTTGTGTAGTTCTTTAAGTTTAAAATATTTCCAAAAATACATGTGACACAGAAAATGATTATGTCATTAAGCCATTCAATTGGTTTTAAAAACCAAAATTTAGATAATCAACAAGTAATTTACCTTTATGAAGAAAATCATGAAAACCTGGTATGGTAGCTGGAGGTGTTTTGGATTCATTGTTTACTTCTAAATATAAGTAATTAGAAAAATATATTAGTGATTCAATAATTTCAGTTCTTTATTTACAGTTTTAATATTTTAACAGATTAAATTCTAGATGTTATAAAACGTGTTAGATGAAGGACCTTTGTAAGTCGATTATTTTTTGAAACTCATATTTTTATAACATTATAAATTTCCAACAGTTTGGTGTGGTGATTGGTATATACCCATCACCATACCATTAATGTATATACATCCTTTAAAAATTTCAAAATCATACAAAATTTGTAAATAAATTATGTGATACGTTTAATATATTTAATTCTATTCTAATATTATGTAGTTTTTATAGTTTAAATAATTTCAAAAAATATAAGTGAAACTGAAAATGGTTATAGGCTATACAATTAAATAAATCAATAAATAATTTACCTTTTTCAAGAAAATCATTTATAATTGGAACTGTAGCTGAAGAGATTTTGAAAATAAATGAAGACATTTAATATAAGTACTAAAATTTATTTTCCAATTTTTTTCATTTTACGGTTACTTTTTATCATGTAATACTTACATTAGACACATGATATAAATGCATATGTGTGTATGTGTGAGTATATTTATTTATAGTATCATTAAAGTGTAGTGTATATTAAGATACAACCTATAGAGTAGGTAATTGATTTGACGCTATATTGTTTAAACCCAACTAAACGCTAAATTGTATATCTTCAAAATCAAAACTTCCACTTGACACGATCTCCCACATCTTCTACGCTTACATCAGCTGTCCTCATATCGCATTCAATAACATCCCTCTATATCTTCTTTCCTCTACCTCTTCTTTCTTCAACATTCATTTTATATAACTGTTCTTACAGCTTCCGATTTTTCTCTCCTCATAACATGACTAAATCATCTCAGTCTATTTTCTCTCATCTTATCCACGATTGACGCTACACCTATACTCCCTTTTATATGCTAGTTCCTTATTCTATCTTTTCTAGTCACTCCACTCATCCAACTAAGCATTTTCATCTCTGCTACACTCATTCTCTGCTCTACTTTCTTATCAACCGCCCAACACTCTGAACCATACATCATAGCTGGTCTCACTACATTGTTGTAGAATTTACCTTTCCGCCTCAATGGAATTCTTTTATCGCATAAGACACCAGACGCTTCTCTCAACTTCAACCACCCGCACTTAATCCTGTCTCTTACATTCTCGTCAATACCACCGCTCTTTTGCACTACTGATCCTAAATACTTAAAACTTTCTACCTCCCTATTCACACTCTCGTCTATTGTCACTGATCTCCTCATTTCACCTACCTCATGTTCTCTTTTGTCAACCCAGCCAGAATTTCTGGTAATGATAAAATTATTGTCATAAAGTGTATGAAATTGGTTTTGTTCTAGTAAACTCAATGATAGATAATAACTTTCATGATATAAAACATAAAAGGTCAAATAAATTTATAAATTTATCTTCAATAACTTCTATTGTTAAAATTAATAATGAAATAATTAAAGTAAACCCATTGCTACTATTTCAACTAATCGCTAAAAAAAAAAAAAAAACCAGCAGTGTCCCGGCACAGTGTGTATAATTGGGTTCAGTATACATGATATGTGACAGTGATTAAAATCATTATCAAAAAACAACGCCCTGATGCAAATCTGTAGATAATGTTTAATTTTAAAATTTTAATGGATTATTACAAAAGCTACATGATCTCCTATTTCCTTATTTATATCCTAAATACAAGTTATATGCATTACTAGTGCAAAGTATGTAATCGATGGAGGATTTCTCCACTATAAAGTTATTTGACAAATGTATCAAACAAAATTTTTTTCCAATTTCTTATTCATTTTCCCATTCTAAATTTTGATAGAATATATCTTCAACAAAAGTACAATTTTCTTAATCTTCAATATTAATTAAGATTTTTTTAAAAACTGTATTTATTTTGCAAGTAATTTTATGTTTTATAATAAATCAATTACTCTAAATATTATGTGTTTATATATTATGGAGATATAAATTAAATATATTTTTTTATATTTCCTCACCTCATTCCTTTAAATTATTAATAACTTCTGAAACACGGGTCCAAAAGTTGTTATCAACCAGTCATGTTATTAGTTCTATTAATTAATCAATTAAAGTATGTATGTTACCTTTTATAAAATTAAGTTGATTATTTAATAGATTTATTTGTTAAAAAATTAACCTTAAAAATATTTAACCAATATAAATCAAGAAATAAATACATTAAGATTCTCAAAATTAATATTATATTAGAATAAATTTAGTGGCCAATGATAAATCTAACATCTTGAATAAATTTTTTATATTTAGAGAATAAAGTTCAAAGTAAATATCAAATTAGTCTTATTTAATCAATTGATGATTTATATATATTTGAAGTAATTGTGAGTGAAAATAGTATTTTTTAAAAATGTATTTTTCTAAGCATATATAATCACGTGGAATGATGGAAATTTAAATTTATGTATATATTTGTTTTATAAATAGAAGAAGGAATAAATGTCACTTTAATTTCTTATTCAAAAATATACTTTATATCAATGGTAGAATGAAAAATTAAAGTATGGAATACAATATATCTTTAGATTATTATTATTATTTTATAATCGTTAGATTAGTTATCACTAAGTAGTAGTCTGGGGAAATATTGGGTAAAATAGTTTCTTATTTCCTTTTATACTAGGGACATGGTGTTTTTTTGTGCTATAGTAACTCGTTTATGGTCTCCCGTATGGGTCTACTACAGCAGGCGCTTTTTATTACTAAAGATTACCAACTACTAGAGAGTCCACTACACACCAACATACACCATGTGACATAGATAATTTATAAATACATTTAAATAAATAATTTATTATTCCCTCAAGAACGATAAATAGAAAATTTACTTTTGAAAAAATATTGAAAAACAATTTACTCATAGCTATTTATTAATAAATGTATTTTAGTTCCACAGACTTTTGCTAAAAAAATTATTAGGTGTAAATTTATGTTTAAATGTATTTTGAAATATCATATGTCATATTTTTATGTTATGACAAAATTAAAAAAACTATGGTTAAATTAAATTAATGTGAATAGTGGGGATTGAAAATTTGTATAGAAAATGTATGTGTTTATGGATTAATGTATAATTAAACACGTCAACAATTTTTAATTATTATTATACTTAAATAAATTTTGCAAATTTAAAATAAAGTTTTAATTAATTGATATTTGTTAAAATATATGATGCATTCATAAAAGAAATTGTGTAGTCTAGGGTAATCTACACACACATAAACAGCCAAAATAGTTAGTTAAGTAAATTGTATCATTGGATTCCAAAATCCAAGACCTGTTTTAATATCAAAAATAAATAATTTTACCAATTATAACATTTTGAGAAACAAATATTACTTTTAAAAAGATGATTTAATGATTCTGGAATGAATGTTTTCCCAGTTAACGAATTAAATTGGAATCCTAGATTGGTAAAGTTTTCCAAAAACAACTTCTCAATTTCATCCAATATTAACTTACAGCCAGAATTATAATTTACTACACTTTCTTTGTCTAATTCTATTTTTCCATATATGGTCTTCAATTTTTCCGTTAACAATAACATATTATCACGATGCAATTCACAGTATTTATAGATATCAAATCTGATTTCATCTTTAATCACTTTGATGTTCAATTCTATACTATGTAGTATAGAATTACAATCTTTCAAATCTTCTTGAGATGTAGAAAAATTATTTAATTGGATTTTTAAATTTTGGAATCCTTCAAATACTGATTTTAAAATAATACTCATTTTTACGGCAAATTGCCATGGATCGCAATGCAGTTCATCTACAGCATATAAGGCTCCTTGCATATATATTGTAAAAAGAGTTATATTAGATATGACTTCTAAAAGTCTTACAGTGCAATGGTAGCCTTCTGATTCATCAATCCTCATTATTTTGATACAGGACAGACGAAGATAATTGAATGCTGACACGATGTCCAATAAAATACTTCCATATGTGCAACCAAGAAAAATAGTCGCGATTCTTATTTTTCTTCTATATTCAGTTCGTTTTATTGGATTTTGAATAATACTTAAAAGATTATATTGTTTTCTTAAGTATGTTACACTATTTACATGTTTTAAATTTTTCTATCCAATACATTTAAAAAGATTATTCAGAATATTTAAGGATTTTTTTGGTGTCATTGTTGATTCGATGTAAAAGATCACACAAAATAATAACAAATATTTTGGTACAAAAATCGAAGTTGTCATTTTTTTTAAGAATTTGAAAAATGATAAATATTTAAGTAAATTTTATATAAACTGTTCAATATAATATATAAAATAACTTTGATTCCAATAATAGCTTTTATTCATAATAACAGTAAGCAGTATTTGAAATTTTTTTATAATTTTAGATATACCTATTTATAATTGCTCTAGCTTTTTATGGTTTAATTTTATTTCTAAAATAACAAAGTTAAATGTTTCTTAAAGTTCCTACTTAAAAGAACATATATCTCATATTAAAGATGAATGCTATAAATAAACAACCGATGAGTTATTAAAAGTTGTAATAATAATAATTGAAATGGTTTCATGAAAAGAGAACTTAAATAAAAGTTAAATATAATTAAAAAGATATGAACAATCGAAATCTAGCGAAGTAAAGATAAGACATATTTTTAGATTAGTATTCAATTGTATCTAACAATGATTACAACAAATCTCATAAAACTCTTTTATTTTATAGTGAATGTTGATAAATTTACACTACTAACATATAAAAAAACCCAGCACAGGGGGGTCGCGGCACAGTGGTGACGTAGCATAGTTGGATCAGGTATAGTGATATCTGACAGTGATTAAAATCACTATAAAAAAAAAAGCTTCGATACAAATCTTCAATAAATAAAAAAAAGGACGTTCAGTACGAAATTCGTTTTTTATTTTACATATGTAAGCGATGCGCTATACAAAGGTATGCTTCATAATTAAAATCGGATGACTGTATGGCCGCCGATAAATATAAGATTACACTCATTATTATGTATGCCTAAAAAATGATTTTTTTATCCAATTACTTTCTTATAATATTGAACATGAAAGGTGGACAACAATCGTAGGTAAGAGACATCGAAAACAATACAATTTTTTTCGAATAACCTAGGACTACTTTATCATACATGTCTTGAAAATATAGCCATTTAAAACTAATAGATAGTAAATATTGATTTATATTATGATTAATTAACACACAATTTATCAGTTGAACAAGTTTGATTAAAAAACTCTATATTTAAATATAGAGTAATAAAATAATAAATTGTTTATTATAAACTGAAGTTAAAGAGCAGATGCTGCTATTTTTATCACAGCAGTACTCCTCTTCCCACCTAGGTAAAAAAATTTGATTATCTTACGAAGGACTGTTGCAAAAGTTGTTATCGACCAGTCATTTTTTGAATTAGAATATTTTCTATTTTATAATTTAGTATGTATGTTGGCATTTAAAAAATAAAGTTGATATACATATACAGTATAAGGGATGGACATAAATATTATAACAAATAAATGTAGATACATATGTAACTAACAACATCCAAAAAAAAATTTTTTTAGAGTAATTGAGTAGCTAGCATTAAAAGATTCACATGATATACTATGGAATAGATTATTTATTTCTACAAAAATTAGATAGTACAGAGTAATTTAATATGTCCTTGCAAAGAAGGTATAAGTACGATTTAAAATAACATGTATTAATTTTAATTATTTTCGAAAAAATTGTCATTATTTGATTAATATAAATTATAACCTTTCATTGTCCAGCAATCCTATACTCAAATATATTAGACATTCTTCTGTATATACAGAGTGATTGATTAAGTATACCTCACAAATTATCTCTGAAAATATAAGTTATTCTTTTTTTTCTTTATGAAATATTATGTTTCTATCCTGTGCTGCTAAGTTTGTAAAATTACATTTTAATAATCACCCCTTATGCTTTAAATCAGTATCAACTTTCAATTTTTTAATGGTAACCCTATTTTTTTTTATATAAGCATATTAGATTTAGTTTTAAAAAAATATTTCTTAAACATTTTTTTTATTTTATTCAATTATCAGCGAGCTATGATTAATTAAAGTTTAGGGGACGTGAGTATTTATCACGTTGATTTATAAGAGACTCCCGAATTTTACGTCGCGGTACAATACACCGATAGTTCTTATCTGTACACTAAATATTAATATTACTGTATTTACCCGACTACTGTTTTATTTGTTAATTCCCCAAAACTTTAAATAGTAATATCTCGTTTAGAATTTATTAAAATTGATTTTTTTTTTTTTTGAGAATTTTTTATGCTAAATAAGATTAATAAAAAAAAACTGGTTTGCTATTTGTAAAACTAAAGTTGATATTGATTTGAGGGTTAAGGAATGAAGATGGAATCAATATTTCTTGTCAAGTAGCTCAACAAAGATTTATAACAAATAAAATAATTACATATATGATAACACAAATATTTTTAAAGAAAATTCGCGAGGCATAGTTAGTCAATCACTCTGTACAGTATACACATAGACCGAGATTCATTTTACTTTAATTCTTATTATTGTGAGTCACCCTACTTACCTCCGTGTCATCGAGACCGATAGGTAGACCATCAACAAACCGCTATCGCCATCGCCTTTTATATATTATACTTATTTTTGTTTATCGCGTAGGCATAATGTCATTTTTATCCAGTCAATTTTATTAAATATTTCTGAATATGTGTTCTTCGAAATGTAATAAAAATAAACGATACTTACAATTTAATATAGCAGGATCAATAAATTATATGTAGGATAATCAAAATTTGTTAATTCAAATGGCACAGCTCGTTAATCCTTCTGGAAATGTGAAATAACTAATGGGTTCTTGGTCAGGCACTTTGCTTTGATAATCAAAAACCCAATACTTTTAATCTTATGGGTTTATTAAAAAAATACGTGATATTTGTTTTGATATAATATATACCAATATATTTTATATAATATAAAAAAATATTTATTTTTTTTATGAACAAAACATATAATTAAACAAGAGAAAATTCGAAAAACTAGGAAGACAAATCCGTTTGTAAGAGTTACTATTGTAATTGTAACTAACATACGATTATTTGATTTGTTTGTAAAAAAAATCGTATCGGTAAAACCAAACAAATTTACCGTACATGAAAATCGAAAAAAAATGGCTTAAATATTAATAAATATTTAATTTTTCCAAGTTTAACCATCGTCTCTAGCTGACCCATTTTACAGTAATTTTAAATAAAACAATAAAGAAAATTTGTTTAACTCTTTAACAGTTTATGCAAAGTTAAATTCATCATAATACATTTATAAAACTTTGTGTTAAAAATTTGTTTGTACTTAATTATAATTTACACTTTCAGAAATATGGTTAATTTTGATTAAAAATAAAAAATAAAAATTTTGTTCCAATTAATTGTTAATGAATAATTTTCATGTAATTTTTGTCACTCAAATCGAATCAATTTGTTTTTAACTGTGTCCGTGTGTCTTGAACTCGGCACCCACATGTTTCCGCTATATTTTCCTAAACCCAATCTTTCCATTTCCGTATATTTTGTTACCCCGTACGTCATATTTGGCATTTGACGATTTTTAGAAATAACTTGAAATTTGGCATCTTCAGCAATAATTTTTGCTCTGGCTTTAACATCTTCAGTACCGTTACCTTGACGTAATAGTGTACAAATTCTATTGAAATTTGCCGCTGATTTCTTAAAGTTCTCAATGGCAAGCATATTTTTGTTCTTAAGCACATTATTGTTTAATTGTTGGTCAGTATTTTTTACAAGAGATGGTGTAAACGTAACATCTTGTTTTTGATTTGTTGGCGTAAACAAATTTAAATTTTTTTGAGGGATATATGATTTGGATAGTGATGGCGAAGATGACTTATTAATTGTTACTGGTGATATTGAATTACATAATGGTGGTGGTGATGGCTGTTCTGATGATTCCAAAGGTAAAATCGTTGTTTTTATAGGATAAGTAGGTGGTAGTATTGGTTGTGGAGTAGGTGGAGGAGGTGGAGGAGGTGGAATGATAGGTGGAAGCTGAGGCGATGAAGAAAGTACTCTATCTGACAATGAAGGATCGTAACTGGCTATTTTTTTAATTACTTTTCTATGAGCTTCTGTATCTACGACTGACAAACGAGCCTCAATAGCGTCCACGTCAAAAGGACGTTCATTATCTGGTCTCACGCAATTTCCAAAAGTACCTTTAGGATAAACATTGGTACTTATATTTAATGGTGATATATATTTTTGTTTACGTTTTTTATTCTTAGTTACTATTTTTACACTATCTCCATTTTCGAAAAAATTATATTGATCTTGAGATATTGGCGTGTCAGTGCTTGATGAGAAAATAAATTTTCTAACAGAAAATTTTTTTGGATATAAATGAATGTCATTTTCAGCAACCATTTTTGGTGGTAAAATTGGTTTTAAATACCCTGGGTACCGAAGCTGATAATCAGGAGAGCGATAAAATGGGGCATCAAAACTTTTTCCATTCATAATTAATAATTAAAAAATTGTCAAACAGTTAAAATATAAAAATTAAAAAATTCTCGAGTATTTGAATACAAAATTTGTATTTTATTTTCTCCCTTGGTTACACAATAATTTAACATAATTACTAAGTATCTTTAATCAGATGTATTGTAATAATATTCCTACAGAAAAAATTATAACTCTACTATCAAAGAAAGATTAGATTGAGCCTTTAATATTTGATTTAAGATTTATTTTAAATTTATTCAAAAATTCATAATTAAATGGTTCTTAAACAATAGATTATTTAAATTTCTGACTTTTAATCACATTTTTTAAAAAGTAGATATTGATTTATTACTCATTAGTATTAATTTTAATATTATTTGGAGTTTATATAGTAGATAATTTTTCTACTATTATTTTTATTGTTTATAAATTGAGTTTTACCAATATCATAAAAACTAATATGTAAATGTGTAATTTTAATAATCTATTTATTAACATGAGCAACTTTTTAAGCTATTTATATCTTGATAGCCTCTAAATTAATCAGAAAAAAGAAATTTAATTTTAGGAAAAATAAATTTGGGAATTTTACTGAAATATATACATGTAGCTGAAACTTTTTTTTCCAAATCTGATATAATTTATAACGTGATAAAAAGGTCACGTTACATGGTCGTAACACGTCCATTTTATTTGTTAAAACAAGTATTTTTTGGGACTGACTTGACAAAAATGTGCGAGAAGTTTACAATGATATCAAAAAGATACTGGAGAAAAAGAAACAATCAGATGACAATAATTAGTTTATCAAGTTTATTATATCGCCACCTTAATGGAAAAATCTGATGGCGTACAACTACAACAACGAGAAGAAATTCCACAAATAGAAATATACATTTTTTTATTAAAAATTGTTGTAATATTTTTATTGATAACTAACGAAACATAAGAAGTTTAGTAAATAAATTAAGTAATTTAATTTGTAATATTTCTATTAATAACTACGATTATTTTTACCAAAACATGACTGAAAACCTAAATTTTAGATTTAGAATTAGATTTTTTAACTCTAACACATCTACGTGTGATAGTAGTGAATTGACGAATGAATGTAGTTGGGGTATTGGAGTAATGATTTGGGTTCATAAAAGATGTGCCTCCAGTTAATCTCGTTACTGTTTTATTCCGTTGAACAGGTACGATGTATATTTATATTTATTGATAATCAATGTTATATATTGATTATTGTACATAATGATTATATTGATAACTATAAGTTCTAATAATAAGATTATTGTCGGATTATGTTATAATCCTAATACAAATATGATTACTATGTATGAAATGCACATGTTACAGTCTGGATATTTGAACGATATGGTGATAATATTGATATTATTATTACCGGTAACTATAATTTCTAGGCTACTATGTTTTCTTTAGAGAGTACATGTGAAGTTGTTAATAGTACACGATCAGTGTGATTTATACTATTTCTGATCAATTCTCTATCCTCAATATATATTAGTTTAATACAATATGTAATCTACATGGAAATATGTTAGATTTATTTTTCACTAACTTCAATTTATGAAATGTAAAAAATTGTTCGAACCCAGTGTTAAAGCTCATATGTATCTCAATGTATATGAGGTACTGGTTATAAGTTTGTTCGTAAACCGTAATACATTTTTAAAAAATGTTCATAAAGTTGATTTTATTTGAATTTTATATTCCATAAATCAAGTAGATTGAGAAAAATAATTTTTGATTGAAAAATTGGAATGTTTCTCTCTTTCTATAGGTTAGACGTAAAATCAGTGATATAGTTTTTATTCATAGATTAGTAAATAATAAAATCATTTGTCCCGGTAATGCTTAAATTGATAAGATTACATGTACTATCATATTTTACCATATCGAAAACAATATTTCATGAGTCATTTCACTCTAAATTTTATGGCTTTATTAGATCTTAAAATCAAATGTTCCGAAGTTGCAATAGTATTGACATAAATTTTAACCATATTTTTGTTATAAATGTATAATGTAACTGTACATTATACATTTATAATAACTGTACATTACACAGTTATTATAAAGATAAAATTTAAATTTAATCATTTTTCTAAGGAAAATGCGTAGTTAATTATTTGTATTAATATTTTGAACTTATCAAAAAAAATTCGTTTTATAATTATTATCAAATTTTATTGTAATATGCACTATTTGCCTTTATGCTCGTTAAAAAATGTTTATTATTATAATTATTATAAATAACAAAAGACTAATAATTCACTGATATGAATTTTAAATATAATTTAAATATATTAAAAATATTAAAATTGCCTTAAAAATATTTCAAGACTAAAATAAATATCAAAGGTTATACATCAAGTTCTTGAATTTAAATTATGAAAAAACAAACAGAAGTAAAATCTTTTTATTACTGCAACATTAATCATACAATCAAGGTCTTTTCAAGACCAATCACGATTTTTTCAAAATTCATAACAAATTCTTGCTTTTAAATTAAACTTATAATTGTTGTAAGTTTGAAACATATTGTTTTATATCTTAGTATATGAAATCCTAATCGAAGCTATAGTTGTGGAGCAACGAATCCTATGACTACACGTTACCGTTACAAAACACACTAAAGAATACATATACGGCCAATACTTTTTCTCAGTCAAATCACTGATTATGCGGATAAGCTTTATCACCAAACTTTGCATTTTTTTTTCGGATTCATGTAAGAGCCTAATGGGCATTTGAAATCGTTAGCAAATTCAGGTTGGTTCTGAAATGTACCTATCACTCGATATTGGCCTGGAGGATGTACACCAGTAAGAACTATATGCTTGAGAGTTTCAGGACGATAAACTGAACACCATATATTTGCTGCATTTATCCAAAACATTTGTCGTCCTGAGTATTCATATAAGCCAGGTAATCTAGGCTCTGTTTTATTTGCTAACCATCGGCCATATGCATTATACGCTAACATTACTCCACCATTGTCAGCAATATTTTCACCAATAGTATGAAGTCCATCGATGCGTAGTCGCGCTTCTTTATCTGCAATGTAGTTACTGTATTGACGAATCATGCATTCTGTACGAACCATATACTTATCGCTAGTTTCAGGATGCCACCACTCTCGTAGATTGCCCTTTTTATCAAATAGTCGACCTTGATGGTCAAATCCATGAGTTATTTCGTGACCAATGACATATCCTATACCACCGTAATTCATGTAGTTAGGACGATCCGCGGAAAAGAACATACCTTGTAAGACACCTGCAGTTCAAATATTAATTAAAATTATTTATTTATAAATAAATATAAATATCTTTATCATTTCTTTATTCATTTTAGGTACCTTACGCGAATCGTTCAGTTGCAAATGACATTTATCCATATTTTTAAAATTGTAATCTATTTGTTGTATTCATTAAATTATACAATTTTTTTAAATATTATGAAAGGAAAAGAAACTTTTTGTGTATACGCTTTTTTGCAACTGGATGACTCAATTTGAAGTGATAACGTTTATCTTGTTAGCTTTATGAGACTTAAATTGTGTTTTGGTAAACAATTACAGAAATAGTTCACCTGCAGGAAGCTGTATACTATTTTCAACTAAATTATAAAATGCATTGACAGTTATCGCTTGACCATGAGTTATCCAATCAGACTTGTTGACTGGAGTGTGTAATTTTTCAAAACTTTTATCACAACGTAATTTGATTAACTGTAATACAGATCGAAAATAATCACTGTCATCTTCTAACTGAACCTTCGAATAATATTTATCTACAATAGAGTAATCTAATAATTCATCTGGATAAGCCACAAATTCTTCTATCGCCTCAGCTTTTTCTAATGCGTTTTTCTTTGTTATCGGATCCATCCATTCTATAAACATGATATCATATGGATTTTTAATATTATCTTATTATTTTCTGCTATATGAATATTCCTTATTAAAAAAATATTTTATATTGTTTTGAATTTTAAAATTAAAAAAAAGAAAAACAATTTATAATTTCTCATACCAGCGTTTGTAAGAGTTCGGTAAAATTCTTCGCGAAGATTTTCAACCATTTTTGAAGAAGACTTTTTAGTCTTTAAGTTAAAAAAATTATTTACGTACATGGAACTGACTGCCAAATCTACTACAGACGAAACAACATTAACGCATTCAACCCATCGCGGTCCACGAGCTATCCTTCCAAATAAATCTTCTTGTAATAACAGCTGTCGATCTCTTAATCTGCGATTAGAAAATGCTACAGATGACTCTACAGCTCGCCATATAAGATAGTTTGCCAGTACTCGTTTAGGTGTAAACTTGAGTAATACTTCAAGACCTGTTAGGTAGCTAGGCATAATTACCATAATTTTTTGGTTGTCATGAACGCATATATTATCAGCTCTACAAATTAGTCTATTGATGTACTCTTTCCATGGAACTTTAGGGTAACTATTAGTTAACGTTGTAATGTTAGATTCGGAGATCATAAAATCTTTTATTTCATTAAGCGACTGAAATAATGAAATTCTTGCTAATTTGACTTCAAAATCAAGAACCCTTCGTAGCTCAGCTTTTGCCATTTGCTTTTCTGCACCTAACTCTACTGCAATATCAACCATATAACGGTAGTAAGAATTCACCATTTTATCTTTTATTCCTCGCTTTAAATATAATGAATTCATATTAAGTGTTGCTCGATCTAACTCAATTATGTGTGAGGTAGTATCTTTAGGATTCACCTTTATGGATATATCTATTAAATAATCTACACTCATACCTAAATCACGAAATTTATAAATCGTGTCGGTCCATTGGAAGTCTAATTCATTCCAATTAGATCCCATAATAACAGGCCACCCTCCGACTTTGAACAGTAATTGCTGCAATGAGCTAATACCATGTTCTTCCAACTTTCGTTCATCTATACAACAAGCAAACATTTGCTTAGCTAGTTTTGAATGTCTAGGTTCGTCATTTTGAATAGGCTGTTCTAAAACACGTCGTACTTTATCTATAACAACATTATTGACTGCACTATAAGTAGTTTGTGCTAATTTATCATCATCCACCTTGGCATCGGTTGTAAATTTTCCACATGCAAATTTATAGAAATCGTCACAAGGATTAATAGATTTATCCACATTAGCTAATATGGACGCTGCTGAACGAACACAACCCTCCGATACACATATGTTATCATCTTCTATAATTGGATTTTCCAAAAAACTATCTTCTGATATGGATAGTGTTGATACAATTTTTAAAATACACAAAAGACATATGCAAATAACACTGGTTCCCATTAATAAAAAAGTTTGTGTAAGAAAACAAACACTTTAAATTTTAGCTAAAAATTCATAAATCCATTATTTTAATTAATTTTTTTAAATAAAATAAATAATACATAAAATTAACTTAGCAATTAATTACTATGCCAACAAATAAAATTTTTTCAATGTTTCTTCTAAAACTATTTTGGTACAAATGTTTAGAATACCATTTAACTGATACGAAAAACATGTTATTTCATTATTTTAATATGCTTCTCAGAACAATGGATTGGAAAAAGAATCAATGACTAAAATATAGTAATACATTTTAAATTATTTTAAAATAGTATTTAAAAAATTTACTTTTTAAATCATTATTAGGAATATAAATAAAATGACACTAAAATTTAGATAAAGAATATCTTATGTTTTAATCATTTTTTCTGTAAATCGTAAATAACTGATGAAATACATTACATTTTGCTTTATGCAAAGTTTTGTTCAATATTTGATGAAAGGTATTTTTGTCAATTATTTACTGTTAATGAGTTACTAAATCTCATTCCAGTGACTAAATACCCAGACATTGAATTAATGGATTATTAGAGAAAATAATAGAAAAATCCTTAAAATTTGAATTAGTACAAACTTAAATTAATGTGGTAATTGTAACTAGTAGAGTACGTACAATTTTGAATGCGGGCTATTACATAAAAACCTTTATTTTAAAACATCTTTCATCACGTTTATAAAGTCAAAAACCCAACCGGTTATTTACATTGTCAATACTATTTTAAGATACGTAATATAACTGACGTTTTCGAAACTCGACAAGAAAAAAGGGTGTTTTAATACGTGCATTGGTATACAATAAATTTAAAGTAAATAAAGATTAAATTGAAGTTATCGTTGCACTAACAGTTTGTGTCTTAAAATAGCAAAGTTAGTCCAAAATTGCAAAACGTTAATTTCAATAAACGAGGAACATACTCTTATTATTATATGTTAAAACAAGACAAAATTTGCCAATATTAGAAAAATTATTTATTTTATTACACCAACTTCCATAACTTTTTAATTTCAAAGCAAAATTGAAAAGGTATTAATTTTACTATGATGTGTTTTGTTTGCCTGTTACCATTTTTTCTCAGCTCACACTAAACCATATTATGAAATCGTCACAAGGATTAATAGATTTGTCCACATTAGCTAATATAAAATTACGCTTATATAAAATGAATACATTTTTAATCATTACATACCAAAATACATTTTTGAATCAATCTTTAGCACTGATTTTAATGTTTTATTTTTTTGAGATTATTACTAATAAAAGGAATATTTACATATAAAAATGTATTTTGATTTGTAATAAGTTAATAATAATTCGTGCAAAATTTCTATTCAAAATGTTTCACCTATTTTTATTGTTCCTTTAAAGATGGTCTGTATAAAAGTTTATATGTAAACTTTTAAACATTTTTTTAGTCTAATTTGTAAGTTTAAGATTGATATCATTAAACAAAAATTGTATGAGGATTTAAAAATTCATATTGTTTAGATTTCTATGAGGTGGTCAAGAATTTACATAATTACTATTAAAAGTAAATTTATGAAAGCTAAAAGTTTCGTTAAAATCACTTATCTTTTTGTATTAGTATCGAAATAAATCAGTTCAATAAAAATCATAGTAATCATTTTTATGTAACCTTTAGTGTTTAAACAGATGCCACAATTAAAATATTTTAAACTTTATTCCGCATAGTTATATTCTACAGTATTCTATAATATACTGATGTTCAGAAATAATCCGTGCTTATTTTCACCTATGATCTCGTCTGCTAATATGCGATTGAATTTCATTTTAACCTATATATTTTTTATTAGTATTTTATAGTATTTTTATTTTATTTTATAGTATTTTATCAAATACTTGATTTTTTCTAATTATGAATAATTTAGAAAATTAGAGGGAATAGAAAAAATCTGATTTCAGATTTTAAATCAGCGCAAAAATTTCGTGTAGCAAATTATATTTTTAACTTAATTGAAAATTTCTTGTAGATCAATATATTTATTCATAATTAGCAAAATAATTTTTTCTGAAAAATTTTATTACAATTTTTATACACGTTTGCCATAAAAGTAACGAAGTATATAACTACTTTATAATCCTTACGTAAAATTCAGAGTATTAAATTATTTTTAAATACTTATTATCCATCTAATAAAAATGAATATTATTACACTTATACAGGTGATTTTTTTTTCATAACCCACTCAATTATTTACTGAATAAATATAATTTAAGCATTATTATTATTTTTTTTTTGGTTAACTTTAGCTACACATTTTTCTTGAATTGTTAACTATATAATATTTTTAAGTTTGTCCTTTATGCCTTGTAAGGGTGTCAACTTTGTTCTTTTAAATGGGAACACATATTTTGAATTTAATAAAATGTTTCAGTTTTAATTTAATAGTATATGGCATTTGAATTTTTCATTTAACTTTATTAGTTTATTAAATATAAACATTTAAAGTTTCAAATACTTGATTTAATATACATGTATAATACAAAAGGGATTGCAAATTTAGGTAGCTAATTGGTTTTTTAACATCGCTATCACAGACTGGAGTGTTTATTGTCAATTATGACTATCAATAGATAAACTATCTGTATTGCCAGTTAGTGTATTTATAAATACACAACAAAGTGCCTTACTATCGTTGATAAGAAATGCTGTGTACCTGCGAATATCGATGTCAACAAAAACTAATTAGCTATCTGTATTTGTAAACCCTTATGTATTACATAAGTATATTGACTAAAAAAATTGAATGTTTATATCTAATAAACTAATAAAGTTATATTAAAAATTCAAATACCATTTACTAATAAATTAAAAACTGAAACATTTTATTGAATTCTTAATATATGTCCCAATTAAAAAAACAAAGTTGAAACCTTTACAAAGTATAAGGAATGAACTTAAAAAATATCACATATTTAATAGTTCAAGTATAATTTATAACTAAAGATAACCAAAAAAAGAAAAAAATGTTTTAATTATATTTATTCTGTAAATAATTGAGTGGGTTATGATAAAAAAATCATAATGAACTTCTATTTAGGATATAATTAAGGAAAGTGGAGTTGATTTTGCTTCTGAAATAATCCACCAATTTCTTAAAATTCAGATACTCTGAAGTTACAAGCTTTTTTTAAAGTTCACATGCATTTTTGTGTCTGCAATTTTATACATTGTGCGTATTTCATTAATGTTTGAACAAATAAGTTAAATTGTTGTCACTTACAATATTTTTTTTTGAAATATTAATAGTTATGTTTGTACAAAACATTACTCATATTAAATTATCAGTTTGGTTAAAAGTAGATAACCAAGTTTATACATACATTGTTATGAAAGAATCATCTCAGCATTACATCATCAAAATACCGTAATTAACTAATCAAAATCGAATTTTTTTATAATACACGGGACAAAAATATAATGATATTTTTATAATATAACATAATTATTATAGAAGTTATGATAGAATAAAAAAATATAATGATGTAATAATCATGAAATTATACAAAATTTAATGTACATACATCTTACAATTTATACATACATTTTAAAACATTTAAATTAATACAATAGCACTGAAATTGTTCGTATCAGAGACCCACTTTAAAAATTATTTACATTCACGCTTCATTGAAAGCGTATAATTAAAATAGTAATATTAATTTACAGAAATTAATAAATTTTAATTACAATATTTCTTATTATCTATGTTAATATAATGAGTGGTGTATGTATAAATAATACATACACCACTCATTAATCAGTAGTCTATTTATCATCAAATTAAATTTATATTATTCATTTCAATCCTTTAAACTATTCCGAGAAATATATTTAAAAATGCATCGATACAAATCTCTAATGTAATAACTATAAGAAATTCTTTAATTGTGACAAATCATCTATTTTAAGTAAAATAATATGTAATAACAATACCTGTGTGGTCAAGTATAATGAGTACAAAAATTAAGTGAGAACCAGAAAAATTAAGTGATCTCTAGAATAAAATATTGTTAAATAAATAAAAAAATCAATAACATTCGTACGAAGTTAACCAGCCTAGACCAATATTTGAGTGGGTTACCTGTGTGGTCAATACAATTAAAGACTCTATTGTGAAGATAAAGAACCCACCTGTGGTTCCTATACTATTCGAGGTATTTAATGACACGATTCACAGTCAGTACATACGAGTGGCGTTATTGATAATTTATGTGAGATAATTAATCACAATAAGTTCTATTTTAAATTATAATTATATTAATAAATTTTCAAACATCACTTTGTTTTTCAATATTTTACATCTTCTCATAGAACCTTCGTACTCATATTCCGAGAGAAAATTATAATATGTCATTTTACTCAATAAATACATATTAACTCAATTATTCTCAAGCTCATACAAGACGAACCAATAACTAATTTTACTATATAATTTTAATCATAGTAATTATACATAAAATAAATTAATTGTATATACCATTCATTTTTTTAATTACTATAATAGTAAAATTAGTTTATCATAGTTTGACATTAATATGACATTCTGGAATCAACATCAACTATTAACAATATTTGCAAATAATTACAAAAGTATATTACATTCTAATTAATATGTATAAATTAAAATTTTCGTTTTTATGTGTTAGAAATCTATTTATCTCGACATTTTATCTATAAATCCATGATAAAATTTTTGATATCAAAGATAGTTAAAATTATTTTAACCCTAACTGTTATAATATTATAATACATTTTACAATTCTCTTTTTTTAAATTTCCTAATTTTTATCATTAAATCTTATTACATTTAAGTATACAGATTTTGAAATAATATTTTCTTTGCAAAGCTCTTATCGTGTTCGGCGTTGCTGAATATTTCTACAGTTTTCGGTAAGAGTATCTGTTGGAACCAGCCGAAGGTCCTAACGTGCTGAAGGCACGTGAGACTCGTTAGGCCCCGTGCTTAAGTTGGGAACTCCAATTAAGCGGGGCCTAGTCACGACAAAATATAGGAACAAACAGTAATGTCAACTTTGAAGCGAAAAGCAACTGCTTATATTAACATAAAGCCAAAAAAACTAACTCAACAAGTGCATCATAACTGTCCAGATTTGGATCTTTTAAAACACATAGATATTAGACTGTTTAGAAAATGTAAGTATAAAACAAATATTTAAAAAATTGACAAAATCGATAATTCAAGCTAAAGCTATGATTTTTAAGATAAAAATACTTTTACATTTAATGGTGAATTATTTTGTTTTATGGATAAGAAACAATTACATCTAATTTTATGAATCCTACTATCATATCACTTTTAAATACAATATTTTTGGCAATGGAACTTTTTTGCATGCCTTTAAATGTTTTCTTAATTACAAATGAGCACATTTATTTAAATGGTTTTAAATGGCGAGTCATATATGTTTTGCGATCACAAAAAAAAAAAAACAAGAATATACAGATGTTTTAAAAATGAAATATTTTAAAGATGTTTAGTTTAAAATTGATCATTTGTATTTTTAGTTCATTGTATAAGAGTTACCTTTAAAAAAAATACGTTTAGATTTCGAAATATTAGCTCGAAATGTAGTATCGTAAGTTTTTATTAATTGCTAAGTATTTGGTTGTAGGTTTTACTTAATTCATGCATGGTCCTGTGAACATGAATCATATTTAAAAATATCTAGTATACGCCGTAATGTGCAAAATAAAATATAATAAAAAACTGACTATGAAACTATAACATGCATATTAATTCGATGTAATAATTATAGAGTACATAATAATTAAATAAAATATTTATAATTAATTGGATCAAGATTACTTGATAATAAATTATTGAATTAGTAAGAATAATAAATTAAAATGAAATATTTTTAAAATATTAAAAATAGTTAAAACGTCACAAAAAAATTTTTTTGTAAACAAAGAGGTATCTTCCCCGTAGTATCTCCTGGGTAACATTAAATGGCTCTAAATAATGTTGAATACAAAGATAGTACAATTTATTTTTATTATTGTTTTTTTTTTGTTCATGATGCATAGTGTACTCAAAGTTGTATCAATTTGTGCCCAAACGTATAGCATTTTGAGTTACTTTATCTAAATGTGTTGTAGCCAATTTTATGTTACATATTTTTAAATTTATGTATTTTTTTGTGTTTTAAGCGTTTTTTAGTACTGCAATAAAAAAAAAACATTAGGTAAACAAAATATATACAATTTGGTTTTTTGCAACTGTTGCAACAAAAAAAAATTGGAAACTGGAGCATATATTTATTTTTAATTATTATATCAATATATTAATTATATTACTAGTTCATATTTAAAGACTTCATTAAGTATTCATTTTAAAAACTCCGAATTTCGAATTATTATTCAGAGTGATTCCTGCACCAGTCTTACGACTTTTTATCTAATTAATACTTTACAATTATTTTAATAACATAAGACAACAACAAAAGAAAATTTTGCGGTTGGAACTGGATTTTTTATCGACTTACAATAACAACATGTCTTTTACATTTGTCAAACAAACCGTAGCCTGTGTCTAGATTAAGGAACAGGAATAAAATTAATACCACTGTGTCAGAAAAAAGTTCATTCACGTATTCTTTTACACTATAAAAAAAACAAATAAATAGAAATAATAAAAATTATAAACGGCCCAACTTCAAATTTGTAACGTCCCACGGATTTTAATAATTAGATGAATAATCTAACAATAAAAATTTTCAATATGCTTTTTCAGCTTAGAATTTTACTTAAAAAAAATTCATAGGTCAGTAATTATTATTATTTTTTAATAAAATTAGCAACGCAAAGAAATTTTGAATTGATAAAAAAAAAGTTATTAAGATTTTCTTGTCTTTCAATTTTTTTTTCACGTTTATTGTTGATTATATCAACTAAAAGTAATAAAATAAAAAATATCTTAATATTTTTTGAATTTATGTCATATTTTTTATCGATAGACAAAAAGTTAAGCTTTAGCTTGTTTAAAAATTCTGCAAAATTCAACTTTAAAATTTTGTATCAAAGGTTGATTTCAAAATTTGCACAAATTATCATTTACAAGAAACAGGTACTTGATTATCAAGTACATAATACTTATAGGTATCATGTATTTTCTTTTTAATTAACATTTTTATGGAAAACAGTTATTTTACAAATATTTTAATTGGGGCTAAACTATTGTGCCAGAGATAAAATTAAGTGCATATTCGGAAACTGCGTCAAAATTTCCACAAAAAAAAAACATTCTATGAACTAAATTTTGTCGATTTTTCTTAATGTCAGTATATTTTGTTACATTATATTAAAATAATTAAACTGGTCATATAAAAATTGTTGAATACATGTTGGCTAATATTAACTAGTTTATATTATACAGCTGAACAATTACACAGTATTCGATTTTCATTACAATTTATGCATGAACCGGTTTTATATGACAATGTGATGAATGTTTCATTATTAAATGTTATTGTTAATACTTAATTAATTTGTAAATTATGACTGTACTGTCACTGTTAATCAATATTTAAACAAACAATGAAGTAGTACTGTAAAGTCTGAGCTGGATACCCTCCTAACCCACATTTTGTGGGTTTACCCAGCCATAGGTAGACGGGCGGTGNAATGAAAAATATTTTTTAATTACTGTAAATATCGAGAAATTTTCTTTTCCAAATTTCCACGAATCAATTTGAGTCATTTTAAATATTTCAATTGGTTAAATGTAATTACCACAGCAAAAAACACAATGTATGTATGCTTTAGCTATTTTTGTTAGTCTTAAATAAATCATAAAATAAATAATTATTTTAGTTACATTTTTAAGCTAAACAAATTAATTTTGATTCATTCAAAACTATTTTCTAAACATCACAAAACTTAATTTATTTTTTTTTTTTTTTTAGATAAATTCGCTTGATAAAAATTTAATTTTTAGATTGCTATCACTCTATTTTTATAATTTATAATAAAATGTAAACATTTAATGTTTAGAAATTTGGAGATTAAGTGCTTTTATTTTACTGTCAAATATCTAATGTACTGTTTTGATTGATTTGCAGTTTGATTTAAATGAGTAATAAAAGAACATTGATCCATTGCATTTTAATGTAACAAGTTTTTCATAATAATAATTAACCGATTTATACAGCATTAAGAAATTCGCTTTATAGTGTCAAAGAATACATTAATATACATAAATGTCACTGACACGTTACGTTCAAATGTTATATAATATTACATAGTATTTACTGCATAGCGTAATCTCTAACATATGGTGTGTTGAAACATTGACCTATTGGAATATTTGAATGAACCTACTTTATTATAATTAGTTATAAATATACTGATTATTTATACTTCTAAATTTTTCAGGATTAAAAAAATTTATTTTATGTTATGTTTATGCAAAATTTCAATGTTTTGAAACCGTCTGAAAAAAATGTTTTTCTGATAAAAGTATATTTAAAAAAATAACGTTTTTAATATAAAAATAATATTTTTTGTTCAACTTTGGTGACCGTTAATATATAGAATACAAGTCATCCTTTAATATATAATTAAAGGATGCAGGAAATCTAAATATTTTCAAAAAGGTAAGGTCGGCTGAATTAGCATGCATAAAATACTTGCAAAAAATAATTGTATTTATTCATACATTGATCAAATAGATTTTAAAAAACTTTTTTATAACTTTTAAAATACACAGTACCTTTGAAGAGTTGAGTAGATTACTTCTATAATAGTAATGAAATTATGTTTTTGTTACATAAAAAAATATCACTTAAATTACTCTCACGCTATTTTAAGCAATTTATAGGGCAGTACATTACTGTTTTACTTAAAAGTAATTACATTAAATCATTTTTTTTTTTTTATGTTAGCATGGTAAACATCTAAATTATTGAAAATATAAATTTGAATTGATCCATACACTACTTTTAAAAAATACAGCAATATAAAGTTAAAGAAATATAAGAAATAATACAATCATCATTTTTTCGATACTTAAAAAAATAAAATTAATAATTATCCATCTTAGAGAGTTATCGGGTTGAATTCCACTATTAATTTTTTTACACTCCATATTTTCTTAATTACTGGGTAGGTCAGTTTAAATTGTAGAATACGTCTAAAGTTTCTTAAGGGGGCAATGGCTACCTCTAAATTGGGAAAAAACATTTGTTTAATATAATCTAAATTAAATTAATGAATATTTACTTGTTCTATTTAAAAAATCATTTTTTTCCAAGCATGAAGCAAAATATCTAAGGTGGTTTTAAAAATCTTGTTTTGATTAATTCAATTTTCCAAAAGTTTTGGTAGTTTTAAGAAAAAAATTATAATTTTGTTGTATTTCAAGATTTTTTTTAATTTATAAAATTTCAAAGAAAATATTAAAATTGACCGTTCTAACGATTGTAATTTTTTTGTAATATATTTATTTTACAATAATCTCAGTGGAGTCAAGACCAAACATAGTGGATACAAATATAAACTAAAATTTGATAGTGATCAATTAAAATTTCAAATAGATCTTTGGAGTGTTAAATTTTCAAAAATAGTAGTGTTTTAATTATTCATTTTTTAAGAATATTATTAAGAGTTATTTGTTAACAAAAATGAGCTGAGTTTAAGAAAATTGTGTTTTCTTAAAAAACAATTGATTTTATATATTAAAATAAAATTATAATTTATATTTGTAGTAATTTTTATCAATTATTATTATATATTCAATAAATAATTACTGAAGGATAAAAAATATAATACACGAAAGAATTCACGTTTTGTGAGTTTTTTCTTTAATTATTAAATTTATATATAATCTTAAGTAACATAATGTTTTTAACAATTATTAATTTATTCATTAGCAGTAGGTAAGCATACGTAGTTGTTTTAAGTATACAAGACTTGTCTTCTGTTTACAATTTACGTGCAATGCAACTATAAATTTAATTATCAATGTAACTTAACCTAGACGATAATAATTTCTTATTGTAACTAATATGTAACTAATATCGAGCAAAATATATTAAATACATAAAAAATAGAACGTTTTGCTTTTCTTATCAGTCACAGTCGTTCTTCGCTATACATTTTTAAGTGCACTAAGTTATGTAGTCTGCTTTGGCTAGTGATTTCTTACAACTTGCTTGGTGCATTAGCTGCGGACATGGTGATGGATTCGGATTCTTTAGCGACCCAGTATTCTCCTCCGTTTTTAGCTACAGTGTACCTAGGGACAATTAATATATAACTTATACAGATCGTAGAGATTAAGACGATAATTTGTATCCTAAAAGATGTTTCTGTAACGAATCAATTATTTTATACCTCAACAGTAGCTTAACAACACATTGGTTAAATATCATGCTACCTTGTACAATAGTATCAGTACATTGGTCGCAAAATGTTATGCAAATAGGTCTGCGGGAAATTGTATTGTCCGAATGCGCTTTCAAATTTATACATCCTTAACCTATTTGCAACAAGCGCAGAAATAAGTAAAAAAAAGTTGAAGAACAGCTTTCCCATTTGATACATCGCTAATTAATCATCTGCATTATTTAAGAAGGTAGAGAAGTCACTCAAGGACGATATAAAATCCAATTAATCTCTTATTTAATACAGTTTTTTTTTTATAAAATTGTATTTCCGAATTTAACATAAAGTAAGAATACAAAAAATAAAAACAATATTATAGATCAAATATTATGACTCAGATATTAACTCCTTATAAGTCAGTTAAATGTAATATAATGAAAACACTTAATTTGAGCTACTATGTATTTTACATGAAAAACTATCGGAAACAGAAACGTAATTATAGACTGAGCACTACATAATAATTAAATGTACCAGTTTCTATAAACGTATAATCTTAATTAGTAATGATATCTCATGCCGTAAGTTTAAGATGCTAAACACTAGGTAATATATAGATAATATTGTAACAAATCATGTGGATTAACAGTTATTATTTTTCATGTGTAATAATCAACGTTTGTTAAAGATTTTTTTAGCTGACAAATTATAGTAAAGTAGTTGTTGTCACATAAATTATTCCTGCTTTAAGTACTTTTTGTGAGGCCACACGTATATGATAAATAATAAAAAGCTGTAGGAAGAATAAAATGCGAAAACAAAAATTATTATAAAATTTTAGACTTCTGTTATTTATACGATTTATTAAAGACCATAATCAGTCCATAATTAGTCGAAAATCGTTATAACCTTGAAAATGGTATAGTGTACTTATGATCAACCATTGTGGTTTAAATCAAATTACACTGTTTGAATGATTTTTTACTTTACTCGAGAACACGAAAAATGGCAGATGGTTAAATGTGAGAAAAAAAAAATCAAGATTATTATTCATTAACTTGATCCAAAATAAATTTAATCGTTGTACGCCTTGAAATTCAATTAAAATTTGTGTGGAAATTGACATCAGTTGTTATAAAAATAAAAAGTAACTACCGATTTTTTTATAAAAACACATTATTCGAAGTAAAACATCTCCATTAGATTATGCAAATTATAAATTTCAATGTACTTATAAAAATTATAATTTAAATTATATTTAATTTATGGGAAAAGAGTAATAAAATTTAACTGACGTCATTTTTAAAAGTGTTATTAGAATTGCAATGTTTCCCTTCTATACATAAATAATGTTTTAAACGAATAAACACAGAAATATCAAACATTTAAAAATGTAAACTAATTTAATAGAATTATACTAATTTAAATTAAAAAATAATATTATCATTGGTAAACTATTAACTATTCACGTGTCTGTTTAAAATGTAGAAGCTTAGCAATTATATAGGATTAAAGGCAAGTTATTAATAGAATTTGGCATTTTTGTATATAGAAAAATTGTTTGGTAGAAAAAAATAATATTAATATAATATATCAATATTATTTTAAAATTTATTTATATTATAAACATATTTTTTTTATGATTTCACAAAAAAGAAACTTAAATGTAAGCCCCCATTTATTATTTAATAGTATGTAAAAAAAAAGGAAAAAATATTTTTGATTTTACAATAAAAAAAAACTCCATTACTAATTTGAATACAATAAATTCAAATTGAATATGCGGATATTCCAAAGGTTTTTTTTTATAAATTCGACGGTTTTTGTCGTTAACTAGAATAGCTCGAACAAGGAAATCTAGAAATTTTATAATTGATATTTACAACTATTAATAATTATTTAGTATTGAAAAATACATTTTAGGTCATAATAATAGAATATCTCAGTTATATTTTTTATCGGCAACGATATGAGTTAAATAATAATAATAATTTAATCCACAATGTACAAATTTAACCGACAATGATTTTCTCCTAGTATATAATTTTTAATAAAAATAATTGTTTGATAGTAAAAATGTATTTAATAATAATACCTAATATTATCAATTCGGGTCAATGAAATGCAGTATGTATTCTCAAATTAAATTTTAATGTTATTATTACAACAATACCAGTATATTAAATATGGTTTCAAGTTTCAGATGTATAAAACGACATTGCATGCATCTGTTCATTTGATCCTATCATTAGTATCAATGACCCGAGACCAAAGATGTCAACTAAGCATAATATTAAAAACTAAAAGCATATCACAAGTGAAGGACAAGCTTTGCGCAACATAGTTTAAATAGGTACAACTAATATATGTGAACAATTAACAAATATATCGTGTATTGTGACATTAGTAAAAAGTGAACTAGAGAGATGCGACTGTTATCGATTGCTAAACAACAAATTTTGTCAAAAGAGTTAACATAAAAAGCGATTTTACGCACATATAATCTTTACATATAATCACTAAAGTATTTTTGTTTTGCGAAATCGGAACCGACCGGTTTGTCGCTAACGACTACACGTGTAGTATGACGTTCTGTTAAAGCACTTGAGTGTTTCAAAACATTAAACATATAAAAATGTATTATCTCATAACATTTGGTCAAACAACCCTTAGGGATCATACAATAACTAATGAATTATACTGCAAACACTAAAACTAATAAATAGTCTTAAAAAATCCTTGTGTATTTTTTTACTTACTTGAATTTGAAACTGTTTTTCAAATCTCTTGGTGCGATCCATGTAAGCACGACTCTACTTTTTTCAACTGAATCATTGTGAGTGGCGGTATTCTGTTAAAGCAATACATGAAATTAAAGTTCTGTTATTAATTAAGATGCTATACAAGTAAATACAGCTATGGTTATGTCTGTACAAGTTATGTTCTATAACAACTCGATTAAATCAATAAAATTTTTGAGGTTTTTTTTATAAATTGAGTATTCAGCTATCGAAATCTACGAATATCAGGATGATAGTAAAATGTATCTTCATATTGTCATAATAGAGTAAATCACCGTAAAATATCAAATATTTAATACTTACGTTAGAAGCACCGTTAGGGCAAGTGATGAGCTTCCATTTGCCTTTAAATTCTTTCTGGGATTTGTTAGCGGGCAATGGTTGGAACCAACCGACGGGCTTTCCAGTGGTGATATCTCTGGCGTGTATGAGGAAACCCTGGAATTTGGTGCCGTCTTTAGCTGACAAGGTAAGCGAAAGAGTCTCGCCAGGTTTGACGGATTTACGGTTAATAGTCAAAGAATATGGAGATGGTCCAGTTTGAGAAGGAGGGCCGTGTTGTGGCAACATATCATCACATACTTCGACTGGAGCTCCTGTGCCATAACCCTGAGAGGTTTGTAAGTAGGCGAATGCACCCAAGGAAACAAACACCAGTGCGACTTTAGCGTTGACCATTATCATTTTAAAAGCTATAATACAATTCGATCAATATTAATACACCAGTATTTGTATACAAAATTATTTAAAATAAACTTTTCAAGAGATATCATTACAATATATTTATAACCAATATTTCATACGAGTAATAAATTATAATACTCAAAAGGAAATGAATCATAAAAATAAATAATATTTACAATTTTTTCTAAATAAAAAATATTTCGAAAATATTCTTAATCATTTTATTTTTATGTAATATCACAAAAGAATTTGTTATAAAATAATTAAAATTATTTTACTACATTTTTATGATAAAATATTTAATAATATATTTATATAAAACTGTAAAATAATTATTCTTAATAAATGTTCTTAAATATTTTCTTTTTTTCATTAAAACGGAAGATTTTTAATTTTCTGAGTAACAACTTAGAATGAAAAATCACTCCTCAAAATATATTTTCATGGAAATATAATTATTTTAAATTATAATTTAAAAATCAGCATAATAAAAACAAAATATTAACATATTAATAAAGATAATTATTACCTATGGTAGATTATTGAGTGTTAAATTTTAATGTGAGTACTAGCTAATAATATACGATATTCAGGTCTGAAACTAAAAACGCGACTGGCGGTTATTGTCCAGCGTGTCTACTATAATATTTATACACAAACAGGTTAGTATACACAGGTGAAGACAATTAGCATGCGAATAGGTGGGCGAGATATTTCTTCATTCGCTTGAAGGAGAATATGCCGACAACAAAAGGCAGGAAGAAAGGGAATATAACCTTCTCAACGCGATTCATAGTTTAAAGTATATTACTTGTTATTAAATTTGATTTAAACGAAATTATAAATAAATGATCGCTAGGACTCAAGCTCATTAATATCAGGAAAAACATGTTTTTTTTGTTTTTGTCTGATCTTGTTTAATGTATTACAATATTATCACTGTAACAAATATGTATCCATAATATTTCTACGTACAACAAATAACTAAAATACGTAATAACATTCTATTTTTATTTAACTAAATAATTTAATTTATTTTAGATTGGATGCAAATCTGTGAAGGTATTGGTTTTACCATTATTTGTATTTTTTTTTGTGTGTGTTTGTCCGTGAAAATTTTCAGCTTTTACTGGACCGGTTTTATGATCAATACGTCATCAAAAGAACCTATTTTTATTCTAGTTGAACCGATCAGCGCTGAAAATTAGAAAAACCACTCATTTTTATAAATTTAAAAAAATATTTAAAAATTATACAACCATAAAAAACGGTGTTTAAAAAAAAAAATGTAGCACAGTGGGGTTGCGGCAAAGTATGGACGTGGCATAGTTGGGACAAGTATAGATGATATCTGACAGTGATTAAAATCACTATTATAAGAAACGCTTCGAAGCAAATCTGTAAATAGAGTTTAATTCTAAGAAATTGATGCATAATTACAAAAGCAAAATGAACTCTTATCTCCTTATATATATCCTGATTAGTAGTTCTTAGATTTAAAAATATAATTTATAATTACATATTTATTATAGCAATTAAATAGAGTATGAAATTCATATTTAATCATTTAGTATTATAATTTTTATGAAAAACTTTACGAAAAAATTATAAAGTAGATATTATTTTTATGGCAAACATTTATAAAAGTTGAAGTGCTTGATGCAATAATTTTCATAAAAAAAATGTTAATGTAACATAAGCTTTAATTTGACGTATGTTTGAAGGACGTAGTATTTCCGGAACATTTTCAAAATGTAAGTTGAAAAAATGGACATTTGTGAAAAAATTGCTATTTTGAATCCCTTCCGTGGGCAAGTAAAAGTTCAAATTTAAAAAAGTTTATATCTCATGAAAGGAAAATACCTAAGGTTTCAATATAAAAAAATATTATTTTGATTCGTTTATATTTCAAAAAGTTATGGCAGTTTTAAGTGCAAGAAACATAACTATAAGTGATTTTTTTTGCAAATATTACATTTTTCGTTTAATTTAAACGGCCATTTGCACATAGAAGATTAGGTATGAGGACAAATTTGTTTATATTACATAATACAATTACAATTTATATTACATAATGTAAGCTTTAATTTGACATATTTTTAGAGGACGCAGTACTTCCGGAACATTTTCTAAAGATAGGTTGAAGGGGAAATTGTCCAATTTAAAAAAAAGTATGTTAAATAAAAGAAGTATATATATAATGTATTTAGAAAAAAAAAATTGTATTAATAGATACATTTTACGAAAGTTATAGCAATTTAAAGTTGAAAATTTAAAATCGAAAATTTTAACACAAAAATAGCAGATTTTTAACAACGGCAGCAGTTTGCACGTGGAAGATAATTCGTTGGAAATTTTTTAAATTAAAATTGCCATAACTTTTTTAAAAATGACCGAATGAATATAATTTTATTTTTTATAGATACCTTAGGTATTTACCTATCATTTTATATATTTTTATGAACATTTGACCATTTACAAGCCTACAGGAAGGGTTTCAAAATGGTAACTTTTTTTACAAAAAATTAACTTTTTCAACTTAACTTTTGAAAATGTTCCGGAAAGACTAACACTTTTATATATATTTTAAATTAAAGATAATGTAATATACTTTATTATAAAAAAAAAATTTGGCCTCTGGACTTGTTTTCATGGTGACAATGACTACCGTATGCAAAAATATGCTATTTTTGTGAAAAAATTCTTGATATTTTATTTTACATTTTTTAACATTATGTTGCTATAACTTTTTAAAAAATGCATGAATCAACTTTATTCTTTAATGATAAATACTTTATATATACTTCTTTNTTCTATTCTTTAATGTTAAATACTTTATATATACCTCTTTCATTCGACATAATTTTTTTTTAAATCCGATCATATCCCTTTATACAAGGGGGGTCAAAACTTTAAACATGCGTATTGAAACTAGGACATTTTCAATTTAATTTTTGAAAGTGTTCCAGAAATACTGACACTTTTATTTATATCTTAAATTAAAGTTTATGTGATAAACTTAAATTTGAAAAAACATATTTGACCTCTGGATTTGTGTTTATGGTAAAAATGACTACTGTATTCAAAAATAAGCTATTTTTGTGTTAAAATTCTGGGTTTTGTATTTTATTTTATTTTAAAATACCTGACAAGGGGAGTACAGATTTTCATAAATATTATATAAATTAAAATTGATATAGTATAGATAGTTAAACTTATTTAAATATGTTTGTTTCTTTTAAGTCGAGAAAAATAACTNGTTAAACTTATTTAAAATTGTTTGCTTTTTTTAAGTCGAGAAAAATAATTTTGAAATTTGAACTAGCTTAAATAGCCATTTTTTACAGCTGACGGTAGCGACGTGCAGTTGTCGAGACAGTTAAATTTTTGATTTACACGCTTGGGGTACGAGGTTCCAGCACTCTTATGGCAATGAATTTTTTGCATTTTTTCTTAATTCTTTTTAAGTTAGTATAAATTTTTAACTCGTTTGATTTTTATCTCATTTAGATTCAATAACTTCAATAAAGATCAAGGATCCCATCACTGTAGTCGCTACTCGCAAGAAGAAATTTTTTATTCATATTAAAATTATTTTATTATATTTTAAGTTTTAACTCGATGCAAAGCTGAGAAGACATTTTTTTGTGACTATCATTTATTTTCTCTGCTCTAACTTGATCTACTTTTTTCAACGATACGTCAAATGACTACAATTCGTATCTAGTTGAAGATATTAATTTATCAATAAAACAGTTACTTATCCCATGTTCTCCATACAGACAATTAAAATCATTAATTTCTAATGTTTTCAAAATATTTATTGACGAATCATGTTCGATATGATAATTTGATATGATGGGTTTCAGATACAAAATTAAATCATTTTACTTTGTAATTTAATAATTTTTTTACTCTATTTGTGTGTGCTACTACTAGACTATAATATTACAATTTTTTTTTGTAACATGTTGCTATATAAATCATTTCTAAAAAAAATGNGGTTGGGTTCTATAATTTTTTTCTTATGATCACTCATTTCCAAATTAAGTACAAAACACTAGAAAAATACCTCTATTGTCCAATTTTCAACCCCGAGTAGGCACGGGTTAAACTTGTCTGATTGACGTGAAATTTTTTTTTCTTTTTTACATGTATATAAACAAATTTGTGGTGAGGGGGTGAGACCAAGGAATTTCTAAAAGAAATTTTTCATAATCTATAATTAAGGACCACTCTAATGTTGCTATATAAATCATTTCTAAAAGAATGATTGTTAGTTTATCCTGAATTAACAATGGATTTTTACAATTATAATCAAATTTTATTATACGCTCAATTGAGTAAATCTTTTTAACAACTTTGTTTTTATTGGTTCATTTAGTTAAAATAAATCATTAAAATTAATTAAGTTCTGAATATTTTAATTGTAGAATCTCTTGAAACACCAAAAGTTATTAGGAAATGATTACTATTACTTCTATTTAAGTTATCTATTACGATAAAAATGCAAAAAAATATTGAGCTGTTCTGATAAATTTACTATAAATAGTATTTATAAAACTTCCTAACTGCATATTAATTTTAACGATACAATTTTTTTAATTCTCATAAAATTTTCTATTTAATGATGTCAATTTTAAACTAGCCAATTGAGCTAAAAGTTATGGTAAAATAAATAAATTTTTTTTATTATAAACATTCACAAAAATTAACTTTAAACGATTAAAAAAATAGGTTAAATATGTCATTTTCCTTATTTTTAACATATAATAGTCAAAATCAGTATTAATTTAAAACAATTTTTTTTTATGTAAATACTTATTTTTTAATAATAAGTAATAATATTAAAACTTAGAAGTGATAGAAAAAGTTTAATTGCACATTTGAATACATCGCGAAAAGTTGATTTAGAAAAGTATATTTTTGTTTCTGATGAAAGTTCCTTGTAGTTTAGTGTATTTATTCATAAGTAACAAACATTTTTTATTAAAAAGTATTGCATCAATCAAAATTTAAATTTTTATACACGTTAAGGAATATACAACTACTTTATTATTTTTATTATTTCTCCATATAAATTGTAATACTAAATTATTGAATATCAATTTCATACTAAATTTTATTACTATAAGTATTAATGTGTATTCATATATTATAATTATAAATCGGGATAAAATTAAGGGAATAAGAGTTATGGTTGCTTTTGAAATAATCTACCAATCTCTTAAAATTAACACTATCTACAGATTTGCATCGAAGCGTTTCTAATGATAGTGATTTTAATCACTGTCAGATATCATCTACACTTGTCCCATCTATGCCTCTTTCACACTGTGCCGAGACCCCACTATGCTACCGTTTTTTTAAATATAAGTTGAGGCGAAGTAAAAATGACAATCCACATGATCATTTTATCATTACATATTACTTTGCCGCGTTCTTCTCAATAAATAAGTTAATAACTTCTAAAGTAAATTTTCTAAAAATCTATTCGATCAGTCATTTAGTTAATTAGAGCATTTTTTAATTTGACTAGCTAGATAAATATGTTTTAGTATGTTACCATTAAAAAAAAATTAATAATTAATAAATAATAAATCAAGAAATATATAGAATTAAAAAATACCAAAAATAATTATCTTAATATAATTATTATTTTAAAAGAA